TTAAACCCTAAAACCAACAAAAAAAATTTAACTCTCTGATTCCCTAATGAAGTTTAAATTATAAACTGATCAATCTTCTAATACAAAAAATCAGATTAAACAATAAATAATTAATTAACTCCCACTAAATGGTCCAAGTTTGTCTGTGTGTGTGTGTGTGAAAATTATAATACCTTCTTTTGGGAATAATGCATGATTTTCGAACTGAATCCAACCCCATAAACCGTCTGAAAGGAGCTGTTCTCGAACTGGGCTTCTTCTCCAATGCTTTTCGATTTGTGTAGAGCCCAAAATTACTCCCAGCAGAAGCCATAGATACAGCCATTTGAATTTACAAATTATTACAAGAAAAAAATTTCATCTTTCCCACATGGGCGTGTTTATCTTGTTTCTTTAATGTGATTTTTGACTAATAACTGCTAGAGAAAAGAACTAAACTGGTCCACAAAAATGAAGAGATGGGAATTATGGAACATGTAAGGACTAAATGCAAACAATCGGCTTCAAGAAACGTAGGTGTAGTTAAAGTTTTTCTTCTAGCATTCGCCATTATTTACGGCCAAACATTTCTTTTGCATTCATTATAGATAGAAGGGATTGATAAAAAAACAAAAATACGAAAGTAAAACAACACTATTAGCCAAGTGACTTTATTTTCGGTTTGGTCTTATTATTAAGTGGTAAGTGTTAACATTATGAAATTAATTTATTTTTCTTGCAAGTATTACGACTTAAATTTAGACACTCTTGTCAACCACAAAAAATTAAAAAATAATTTGAATATTCTTTTGTTACATGTTCAAGATTTACATAAAAAATTACATAATACCACATGATATTCTACAATCTGACAATTTAAAATACAATAAACTAATTCATACAATCTTTTTCCTCCACATCATTTTCGTTAACTGCTTATATATTATTTTAATATACAAATAACAAAATCCTTATTTACCTTTGAATTATTTAATAACCACAAAAAAATAAAAAATAAATCATGTTTTTTCTAATTGTCAATTATAATTCAGTTCATTATTTTGGAGGATAATTTTCAAAACAGATTTTCTTCAAAAACATAATTTAAATGGCCATTTTAACGAGCTAGTAAAATTCGGAAAAATAGAAAGGAAAAGATAGTGAAATGGTTGATAGCCAAGGCATAGAAAAACCGTATAATTTTGAACATGAACTATCCTTCCAATTTGGAGAATACTATGCTCCCTTTCTATCAAGTATAAGACAGAGCACAGCATGCACTAAAAAATTGCTCCATAGATTAGATCCTATAGAATTGGGGTCGTGTAAAAAGATGGTCCATACTAACAGATTCGGGTTGATAGCCACCTACAAGTAAATACAAATAATTTTGCTCGAATATTTTCTTCTCCAAACAACTCAAGTTCTAAGAAGCAGTAGAGTTTTAAATCCCCTATAGCCATCCACCAATTTCAGTGAACAAAACTAGGTATAAATCAAATTGTTAATGTTACACCGGAAAATGATGTCTACATTACAGACAAATACCACATGCGAATTTCTGCTAAAAAAGGGACTGATGATCTAGCATTATCAACCTCAATCCACAGTGCATTTTTTATATTCGTTGCACATTGACACGCTCCACGCTATTCCTGAAATGAATTAAAAGAAAGGTACAAGAAAAACTATTAGGATCATAAACAAGCTAGCAGACAAGGTATACTGGCATCTATCAAGCAGAGCATAACATAGACGTTAGCTTACTTCAGAAGAAGAAAGAAGAGAGAGAACTGGGAGTTCAAGAAAGCAAGAACTCTAACTCAAGGACTCGAGAACAGAGTACAGAGACTGGTACAATGCAGTTCAACAATTTGTTTGTTAGGGTGTAATGTTTGGCGGCCGGGGCACCATTGGGCTCTGGTTAACAAATTTATACCAAGCACTAAATAATGATAATGAATAAGTAGGTCAAAAGCACAAGCTAGAGCATCAATAAAAACATCTAAATTCACGTATTGTTTTCTCATGCAGTATTATCTGTAAATCGTTGTACACGTGGTGGCACTTATTTATGATTCCTTTAGCAAATCACCACTTCAGAAACATGGTTATTGATTTATTATCAAGAAAAGTCCATTCACTATATCCATATCATGAATGCAGCTACATCACAATGGCACTATGTTGTATACAAGCAAAGGCCACAAGAGAAAATGCAAACATCACTACTACCTGTTCCATTTCTGCTGGACCATCATCTTTCTGTTCGGGTTCGTCGTCTCTTGGTTCGTCATTTGCTTCCTTTTCAGCATCAATAATCATTGTGTCATCCTGGACACTTCCATTTCTAGCCGTGGTATCACCATCAATATTTAGATCAGCCGGAAGCTGGCCTGACCTTAGGGCCTATAGAAATTCAAATAAATAATGGAATCAATCTGATCTGAGCAGAAGCCCGAAATAAGAACAAAAGCCGAGTAATGTGTAAATGGACCAGACTAGGTAAAGCAGTGAAGAAAAAATAAATTTAAACTGAAATTTATTTATTATTCATTTGCATTGACAAATGAGATTACCTCTTCAAGCCTGGCCACCTCTTCCAGAGTTTGAGAATTCACAATGGCAGCCTGCAGAGTTATTATCAGAAAGTTAAAAATTTGCTGCATGCATTGAGGAAAGAAAGGAAGAATACACACACTATTGCAATCCAAATAAAGATATAAGCACGATACAGAACAGAAGAAGGAAATTAGAGTATTGACGGTTTGGTGAGAGAAGATGAGAGGAGATATCACTTTCTAGAATCACATGGAAGGTAACAAACCTTTTATCTTATTCAGTTGAGTTTCATATTCCTTTTCTTAAACTTTCTTCGTATCTCATTGTCCTCCCTTCAACAAACAAGAGAAACTGAACCTTCTCTACTTTTCTCCCAATTTTCATTACTCAAATCTTCTCAAAATTATTACTGGCAGAGGCAGATCATAGATGTTTTCAGGCGTTGTTTGGCAAAACTTTTGATAAAAAATTTATCGGATTTTGATAAAAGCATTACATGTGTGATTGAAAAGTTGATAAAGTTGTGGGTCCAATGAAATGTGGGGTTGAAATTAAAGTTAGACCAATTGAAAAATTGACAAATTTTATCAAACAAGCACTCATATTGTAAGGGGAGAAGAATGAAAACAAATAAAAACTAGACTGTACCTTAATAGCTATAATTTGCTCAGGTGTGGGAGCAACCGGTTTGGGTGTTTGCTCCTCCTTTGGTAACTCTTGATTGCTTGGAAGCTCGCCAGGTACAAATGTCTTCACAGATTCTTTTTTAGCTTCTTCTTCAGCTTCTTTTGACGCAAATAAATTATTGGCTTCCATTCGCTCCTATCATCATATAAAAATAGAATTCAGTATGGTAGGACAATCAAATTTTAATTAGTTGAAAAGCGACAATCCAGTAAATATTAAGCAGTAGTCACCAAACATGTAGGTACACTAATGCCGAGAAGTAAAAATAGGTTTGTGGTGAACTAAAACTTCTACTTGATATGAAACAATAGAAATTTATCACAAACAGGAAGGTGCATGCATCACAAGTATCCATGGATCAAGAATTTTTAATATTATCGTCAGATAAACAAAATTTTAAAATAGCAAAAATTTTCAGTATCAATTTGATAATGGGTTGAGCATAAGATAATTAACAAATAACAAACAGGTGATGAAGGGTCTAGCTAGTGCCAATATCTCAGTTTAGTAATCAAGTACAACATATCAAACACGTGCAAGATTTCATACAATGTCAGAGCAAAATATACATTCAACAGGGGTTTATTATCTTCTTGAGGGCATGTGCACTAGTTGAAAGAAGAACAGTAGAACAGCAACCATATCGACAGTGGGGTATTTTGTTTTTTATGCAAGATCTACATGTGTGGTGACACTTTAAACATGAGATGAAAGCGTTTGGTTATTTACTCTATTGTTCTCTTACTTTGTGAATATAAGGGAGACCAAGTTCCAGCATGCTGCCAATGAGCCTCCAACACTCGCAAAATATGATAGGTTTCACGAGGACAATGGAGGCCCTACAAACCTATTCCAAGTAATATTAAATTGGTTAAAATCAATTAGCTTGTTTATATCCACGGTCGAAGCAACCCCATACCGATGCCTCACATCTGCAATTCTACTAAATTAATAACTTAATCGTCAAGTCAAACACCATTCCTATATGCTGACATTAAAGTACATCGGTATTTAATAGTTTGGCTTCCATTTGAATTTAATACGATTACTTTCTTTACTTTAGTATTCACAAATGGTCGCATGGTGATGAATTCAACGAGCATGACTTCTATGAATAAAAGGAAACATCTCCAACATAAACCTGACTCCCAACAGCAAATATGAAGGGAGAAAAGAACTAAATTCCCAACTACAAATTCTTCTATTTTCCCTTTTTAAAGATTAGTCTATGGCACAAATTATTTGATTCATTTCTTCTCAGTTTGTATTGCAAATTTGAAATGAAACCATACAAGCCATGCACCATTTTCCAAAAGGCTAATGGTTAAGCACATAACATACATTCTCTACCAGTTAATACTACCATGTACCATTTTCCAAAAGGCTAATGGTTAAGCACATAACATACATTCTCTACCAGTTAATACTACCATGTACCGTGAAGTGTAGGTTTAAACAGCAACACTATGTCTAAGAGCATAGGACCAAATTCTGACCTTTTGTTTGACTTTCTTGAAATCAAGCACACGCAGGGACTTCAGTTTGTGAATGACATACAAACGGTAGTTGGGTTTCTTAGTAATATTGTTATCGAGCAGACTAAGGAACTGCAGCTTTGGGAGTGATGCGAGAGGATCAATTTCCACCAGGTTAGTCAACCTATTGTTAGTTAGTACCAAGGTATGCAATTTTGGCAAAAACTCT